CCTGAGATATTCCGTTTCCTTCGTATCTCCCGCGCTGGTTGCCCAATCTTTCCCATTTCCACCTCAACGCTGTGCACTTCTTGCTCGGAAGGTTAGCTTTGTCTTCCATCATTTTTATTGTTGGTCCCAGGAAAGCACTGGCGGTCAGCTGGTCGGTCACTTGGGACACTTTCATTCCTTTCGAAAACTCTGTTGCTTTCTCCCGCCGCTCATGCATTCCGCTATAGTACCCGCTTATCCTCCTCTGATCCTCGTCACCTTACACACAGTGGGTCTCTTCACTCTGCCGACTGCTTTTCCCTGCTCTAGAACGTTTCCAATACTTTTCTCCTCAGCCGCGTCAGCAACGGCCTCTCGGGTAGTCCTCGGTCGCATTGGCCTTTCTAGCGATCGGCGATAGGACTCCTTCCGAGAGCCTCTGGGTGAGCTGGAGGATTTCCTTCTCTGCTGTCAGATTCTTTCCTTGCGTTAGGCGCTATTCCAACACCTGCCCACCTCCACATCTCCCAAGTTTACCGAGCTTGCTGAACTTTCGCTCCGCTGCCTCCGATGCATTCGACCTATATATCGATTCTAATTAATGCCACCTATTCTGGTTGCGTTCGCGGATACGCGGCAACGAGCACTCCATGAAACATTCTCTGAGCGAGGCTCATAAGGAATTCGTACACGTCCACGGCTCGGAGCAGAAGAACTAGCCCGACCCGAAAAACTGCGGAGAAGTGACTTGGGTCGTCCCTTACGCGGGGTCATGGCGCGGGGAGGAATCGATCCAGGATAAGACTCCCTGTACGGGATCAAGTCAATGCGGTCCGTACAAATTCGCATCCGATGTGTGTGGACCGCTCCGACGATTCGGCCATGTGACGATGTCTCGAGGGCCTTTTCCTGGGAGAACACAACACGCTCAGCGCCTCTGTAGCAGTTCCATCCCGGAATGTCTTTCCACGTGATCCTTATTCGATCGTTGTTCGTAAGCGAGCGAATGTTTCTCGCTTGTGCTTGTTCCGCCTCAGAGATTCGGATTAGTAGAACCGAGCGAAGAGCGCCCGACGAAAATAACTCATTGCCGAACGGATGAGCTTGTGGGGTGCAGAGCTTGGTTTTGTTCCCAAAACGGTGCCGAGGCCTTAATTGTGATCGGAATAATCGTGCCGATACTTTATTAATTATTCTTATGATGAATGGTGGGAGATACGGAGAGGTTAACGGCGTGAGCCTATCTCTCTCTCTCTTTCTTATCTTTCCTCCGAGCTCTTGGCCTTCACCAAGGCGAGAATAATAATTGAATCATTCATCTCGCTCAGGAGCTCGCGGAATTCCAAAACGACCATTCCTTTAGTCCGGCAGCCGGGGAATGAGGAACATTCTTGTTTCAATTCTCCGCTCTCCTCGACGAGAGGCATAACCTTCTCGACGCGTCGAGCAGCATAGGTGAGTGCGTGAGCTCTGGGGGATCAGGCAATTCTCATAAATGATTCTCCGGCCACCGGATCATTCTTCAGTCATCGGAATCGGTGCAAATCAGTGATGCGAACATCGGTGGGCGGGTGCAATAAAACAATCATCATTTGACGGATGCAGCAATTCAAGTGTCTCATTCTGAAGTCGAGCTAAGCGAATCAGCCGTACCAATAAGTGCCTGGGCACCGTCGCGTTCGGAGGCATGGCTGTGATGACTGGTTCTAATGGCGTCTTATCTCGACGTCAACATTCAGGGCCTTCGTGGCACCTTCGTCTCAAAGGGCCGCGTTTCTGTCACCGTCATGACGCTGTCATTCCCATGTAGGCGGAACAGAGAGGTCGGAGTATCTGGAACGAGAGTCCTTCAGCGATCAGAAGGTTTCTGATGACAAGCGGAGCCTCTCTCGCAATGCGGAAATCAACGCGCGTTTGCGATTGATCCGAAGCCCCCTCTGATTTCGTGGGATTGCATCCCGCTAGAAAGTCTCCCCGAGTTCCTCTGATCCTAATCAAATCCTGAAATCCTCCACGAGCTCTTGACCGGTAGACGCGTTTGAAATTAAGTTTCGGGACCTCAGAGGGTCACTCTGACTGAGTTCCCCATACCGAGTTGTATACCTGCCTCTCTGGAAGCTTGATCCCGAGTAGGTATCCTGAGCCGAGGAACGTCCCCGTGGGCGAGGTCGATGACCTGCGCGAGCGTCCCCTCAGAGCTCTGTGAATAATAATCTATTCAGGCTCCTCCGTGGATATGTACGTAGAGGACATTCTTTGACGTGGTCTTATCCAGGTCGCGCAGTGAAGAGGTGTGCATCGCGAGCCCGGAATTCCCGAGCTTTTTATCGACTCAGGGGATGCAAGTCCGCCGTTTTTTCTCGAGTAGTCCTCCGCATGATCGGAGGCGGTCTCCCGCGGAACAGTCGGAAGCCGCCCGCGGATTCAAACGCGAGGCTGAAAGGACTCGATACCTTCCGACATGACCGTGGAATCATGGAACACTATCGATGACACCGTCGCGTCTCCGTAGCTGACTAGAGCCCGCTCCTGTATCGCAGGCATATGACGATGCGGTCAGCCCCTCGCACGGGAGCCTGTTGCGGATGTATCTTCACCCTCCGGACGAATGAAAGAGTGCCATTTGGAATCGCGAGCCGAGCTCGAAATATCCAGGAACTCCATGGAGGCCGTCACGACGACCTTATCGTCTTGATTGCGACGTAATTGACCGCGATGACAGGACTCGGGGGAGACGAAGCGAGCTTCGGAAGGAGCAGCAGAGTTCTGTGGTCGCTGAGAAGTTTGATCGATTCGCTGCCACTGGAGAGGATCACTTCGCTCTCGTGATTTGGTGGAATTTAGATTGTTCGCTGCATTGTCGACGTGGCTCCGTCTCATCGATACATCTTGTGCTCGCAGCTCTCGAGCCATTCGACCCGACCTAACAAGCTCAAAAGATCACGGAAGACCCCTTGCGGCGTTTCTCTGATCCAGTACAGCTTTCGAAACCCGGGAGGACGTAGCGGCGACCGCTCATTGTGATTCCCCTCGGGCTTAGGGAATTCAAGCTAGGTGCCGTCACGAGATAATGGACACAATGAGGACAGATACGTCGGGATTCATCATTTGCATTAGGATCAAGCTCCGAGTATGGAGAGACATTGCTGCATTTCGCAATTCATATCCACACTCTGGAAGGAACAAACATCGGACAAGTCGGTGGCAAGCGTCGGCCAATCCACCGCCGAGATCCCCGACAGGGAGGCGTTTCAGATTTTCACTGCGACTGGTTTTCATGAAGGATTCTGATCTTCGCTCGCCGGAAGTTTCAGCGGGCTACAAGATTCGGTTCCCCAGCTCCCAACTTCGAATAGCGTAGAGCGCTAAGGATCCTCACTTCCTACCTCTTGTCTGTTCCGGAGTTTGGGCCCCTACGGAGACGACCACAATTGAATAAAAAGGTTCCGGAAGCTCGCTGCATATTTGCACGAAAATATTCCCCTTGGAGCCGGATGATCCCGGTTCGGAGTTTTGCTCAACGGACGAACAGCAGATGATTCTATGGCATGACTGAAGTCCGTGATGCGGATCCTATCATATCGGATACCCCGAGAGCAGTAATTGAATCGCACCACGGAAATGAGACGCCTTAGCGACAAGAGCGTCACTGGAGTTCAACTTTGGGTCCCGACTATCCGGTCCGGTCTAGCCGAGCGAGCGAGCACCCATCGTATTTTCTCCGCTCGCTCAGGAATACTCTCGAATGTTTTCCCTGAGGCCCGCCGCCCTCTTCGCTGATGTACTCTTGAACGCGGTTAGGCGATGTCCAGCTCATCCGCTGCCAGAAACCACGGAACATCTCCGTATTTCCCGGTTTCCCCGTTGGTTTCCCCTGTTGTCGACAGTGATCTCTTGACCAGAGAGTATGAGAGGGCGAGTTGGCGCGGCTCTGACTCAGGGCCCGGCGAGATCACGTGTGGCATGGGTGACGGGGGATATAACACGCACCGTGAATGAAAGGACTGCGGGTGAACAGCCTCGACCCCAATCTCGAATGAAGTCCGAGAGTCGCAATTACTCCGACTCGCTTGGCGTTCGCCAGTTTGGCAGAGGCTTCGGAAAAAAATCGATAAACGAATGTTTTTGTGAAGTTCCCTCGAGTTCACCTCATTCCAGTTGTCAACGAGCTCAATCGGATGCGCCGTCTTCAAGGGCTCTAAAGCCGTCACTGGAGAGAACTTTCCTCCAGTGCTGTTTTTGCTTCGTTGCCTTTGTGTTGTATCAAGCTTGTCCTGGAATGTAGGTGATCTCCTCTGTCAGTCTCGTTGCTAGCAAAAGTGCTCCGGAGACGGCTGTTTCCTCTCCTATATCAGACATCGACAACCCAGCACAGGGGAATTCGTATCTCTACGAAAATGACTCTATTCTCAGCCTCCTAAATACCGTTCCTTTCCTCGACGCTCAAACGGCATATCGTTCCCTCGATGTTTTAGGCGGTGTATTTCCCGTTCTGATCGTATATAGCGGCGTTTTCGGTACTCGATTATTATTTCTTTCAAATGACGGTTGAAAAAGAGTGAGGGTCACCGGGTGAAGTGGTTCCTCTTCCTCTTTCATCTCTTTCCCGTCTACCCTCGCCTCATGCCGGAGAATCGTAGCGGGCGCCGAAATGGACGAAGCGGAATCTCTTCTGTGGAGTTTGCAAACTTTGGCGGCAATCGAAGTTTTCGTAGGCCGACGTACATTCGATCGATTGCGATCAGCGCACGTGGATGTTGACGTCGTCAACGAAGTGAACGATAGACTCCACAAGTTTGACGACCTCGGATACCGGCGTCAAGAGCGGTTTTCGGTGATTGTTCAGAAGTAGAACTCATCGGATCAAGATGTGTTCCCCTCTGTGAGCTCGTTAGGATGCCGGGTTCCCCCCGGGTTACTGGGACGGCGTCCCGCGACATGGATACGACTGGATACGTCTGTGCGGGACCTTAACAAGTGAAGCCGGGCCATCTGTCCCAGGGGCAGTGAAGCCTTCTCCCATGTCGCGCGTGGCTCTGGCTGTGGCGATTCTCATCGCCGTGGCGTTCACGCCAACGATGGGATGGGCATTCGAAGAGGATGAACTCACCGGTAAGACCAGAAATGTTCGAGGTCAACTCTTAAGATTTCCCCATCCGTTTTGTACCGAAACCCGAAATCTGTGGGAGCTCACGTAATTCACTCCTATGGTTTCCCGTGGCGCCCCCGGACCGCTGGCATTGCCTGGAACCTAGAAGCCATTAATCGATAGCGAGGCAAATCACTGATGCGAGCAGCGACAACGAGCAGATGCATCAAAAGAACATATATCTTACGGGGAGGAGAAATTCATTTCGAGATACGTTCCGCAGCGTCTTGATCTTTTTTTCATGAGCGTCGGCGGTGCCGGGAGAGCGAGGCTCGAAAAGCGTGGCACCTATTGCGATCCTGGTCCAGCTACTGTTCATGAAGCCAGTCGAGTCGCTCGGGTCTCGAGACTCTGCATTATCAGACACCGAGAGTGCGAATGCGGCTCTCTCTCTCGGACATGTGATTATTCGAGCATACTCACGCATCATCCGAGAGCGTACGGGCTTCTCGGATGGAATTTCGCCAGACTAGCTCCCCGGACTCCGAATATTTTGTTTTTCTCAGCAATTTTCCTCGTTCTCGAGTTTCCTTGTGATCTTGATTAGTTTTGCAAGAGCTCTAGTAAGAGCGATAAGGGTTGATGAAGCAACGGGGAGCATATTTGATATTTGACTTCTGTCCGGTCTAGATGCGCGAGAGCCTCGTCCATCGAGAAAACGACAGCTGGCCCTCATCCTGCCGAACTCCGAATGATTCGTCGATGTTTCTGCATCGCCCTCAGCATCGAGAGGAGTTCCGCAATCGACGTGGAACCTTTCCGGACCGAAATGCGTTTTTCCGAGGATCGACGCCTTCTTGCCTTCTTCACGGAGTTTCTTCTCGCCGTTCTCCAATTAATGTGCTTAGGTCTTCTGGCCGAGTCGCGAAAAGGAGCTTATTTTTCGAGGCTGTTCGTTCGTCCATTCCGTACCCTCAGCTCGCAACGAAACCTTCCGAGCGTGAGACCGAACGCTGCTAACAATATTGAAATATGACGTGGGCTCGGAGTGACAGGATAGCTGATTTGATGCCTATGACTCGGGGCTACAATGCGCCCTTCGAGAGGCTAGGTCGACACGGCGCGGCTTGCTCAGAGATCGGTTCCGGTGCTTCCGAGGGACCTCTAGACGCTCCTTCTCGAACGCTGCCGGCAGGCGTACTCGTAGGAGTGCGTGACTGTCGAGCTTGTCTGCGTCGGATTGCTTGGAAGGAAGATACATGCAATCGCATCAGGGAACCCTAAAGGCTTGAATCGACTCTTGCGTGCTCGTTCTCGTGAGATGAATCATCTGATGCGCCATCGATATACAGATGTTCAGATCTCGAACAAGAAACTCCATCGCAGGAGCCGGAGCGACGGCGGGTCGACAACAGGCTTCCCCGCATTTTCGTACAGCGAAAATGTCCCATAGGTCCGAGCCTTATATCGAGGTCGCTGCGCCCGATATCGATATCCACACCTCATCGTGCAGTGGAGAATAGATACGCTCGCGACTGCTAGAATTTTGAGATACCGCGCTCCTCCACATATGATGTTTCAGGGGTATCGAAAATGAATCGATCATAGAAAGATAATTCGAAGCCGGAATTCGGATCGATGCCCAGCCGTCCCACCTGCCAGAGAATCCCGTTTCACGGATTCGCGCGTTTAGTCTCAAGAAGCAAGCTCTGTCCGGACAATTGAAACAAACTCAGGGTCATTGTTGCTCCATGGGAGTAAACGTCCCGGAATAATTTAGTTACCAGTGAGTCCACATCCACATCTTTGCGCAATTCTCGGCTGGAGCACGGGCCGGCTTCCCGGGGAGGATATGATTTTCCCGGGAACTCGGAAACCCGAAGGAGCTCAAACATTCCCGCCAGTGCTTCAATTCTCTTTTCACTTTTTGAATGCCCAGGCGTGAATCTCGAACCGACAAGATACATCAGACCAGCAATGAAGAGCTGAATATGCTTGCTCCGACAGAGAGCGATTGAAATGACTCGATCCGGGCTCCTGTCTCCCCGATGCTAAACCCACGCGCCCTCTCGCATCGACTTCCCGTGTCGTTCCCACGTGGGTACAGGTCTCAAGACTCCTCACCACTCGAATATCGCTCGTGAGCTTCGCCGAATCACTGAAGACTTTGGATAAATTCCGGCTTATTTAATAGTGCTGTTGATTAGGTTCGTTCACTAGGGAACAATCAGCTAGAACCGATTACGGAAGGCGAAGGACATTCGCTGTTCTAAGTCAAGTGAGGTCTTCGGGTTTTCCTCTTCCGCGATTTTTCCCCCTGCTTCAGACATGGAATCGTCTCGCTCCCGATCCCCGATGCTCTGCCTAGTCCCTCGTAATCATATTCGCACGGATTTCAGACACGGGTCAAGGAAAATCATTACTTACGAGGCTCGGGGTATCGTCGAGGATCACGCCGCGTAAGCCCCGAAGATTTTTCGACTAGACTTGCACCCGTCGATTCCCTTGGTAATCCGACGCGATTCTCGGCGGCTCCAGCAAATTATTTCTCCTCTAAATCTCCGAATTCGGTTCTGCACTCGAGCGAAATTTTGATTTCTTGAATTCCCCCCGAACAAGCGGGAGCGCGATCCTCGCCGCGACTCCACTCGAGTTAATTACACGTGAAGGAGCTTACCGAGCTTCGAACCTTTTCAAGGTCTTTTTCCTCCATCGCTCGCTTCCATTTTAGATTATTTTCTCGAAGCGGTCGTCTCTGAAAAGCCAGAATAATACTGAAGATGAATGAACACATCTTCGTATTCTGCATCTGGAGTGCGGCTGATAAACCTGCCCGTCCTCCAAAGGAGTCCGAAATCCTCCTGAGCGTACCCGGAGGACACTCTTTTTGGAACAATTCGAGTCCTCGCTCTGCCGAGCTGTTCGACAGATTCCCCTCTCCGATGACTAAGGACTCGAGACAGGGAAGAGCCCGAAGGAAAACACCGGCACCGCGTGAGAGTAACATCGACGGTGACGGACTTTTCACAGAATGACCGTTGGCTCTCGTTGCATGATCGGATGGCCAGCTGCGCCGGACCGCTTGCAATTCGACGCTGCAGCTTCGCATTCCCCGTTGTTGTCATTGCTCCGTGGAAGGGGGAGGGGCGAGGAATCCTCAGGCCTGACTTCGCGTCGCCTAGCTCCAGAGCTGTCGACGTTTTCCCGGCAGCTCCTCAGAGTCGAACGACTCCCCCTCCGCTCGCTCGGCTCTTCCATCTGTGTATCTTTTTTTTCATTCGGTCCCGCTCCGCTATTCCTCAAACGAACGTTCGGTCCGTCTCACATCGTCCTTTCTGGCACCAGCTATCGAAAACGGCCGTGGACTGTTCACTTGAGACCCTCCCGGCCCTTCCGATCCCTCTGTTGCTTTCTCAGTTTATTTTCCCGTTCCACTCTCCCGTATCGGCTCCTCATCCTCCCTACTTCGCACACAGTTGCCCTCCACCGTCCTAACGGCTGTCCGTTTCTCCCTAACGGCGGACTGCCGTGCTCGAGTTCTGCACGTTTCCAATTTCTTCTTTTCACAACAGTGAGACCGGCGTTCTCTCCGATCGGCTCGCAGCCGCTGTCTGCCAGATTGCGTATACATGCACTCAGATGCTTCGGTGCAGATTTTCTCTTTGCCCCGAAGACGTTCGTGTTCGACTGACTGAGAGGGCTCGATTAGTTGAGAGACCCTCCCACCTTGAGTTACACCGGTGAACTCGTCCTGCGATCGGGCTACCGCAAGTTTCCGATTGCGTTCCGGTTCGTCGGCCGCCACCGGCTCCGGCTTCGGAAGGAGGCGGATGTCGCAGATCAAGTTCGTCCTTCCAAGACGCGGCCCGTACTTTACAAGTGTCTCCGAGTTTCGAGTTCCGGATCCGATCGACAGCGACGCCGATATGGCGGGTTATCCTTCAAGTTGAGGCTAATTCGGGGAGAAACTTCGGTTGCCGAATTGCTCAGGATTCATTTGAGGTCGGAAAACATGGGTTTATGGAGCGGGATCTGCCTGTTTCAGTTGGCTCTCTGGAATATTGTCTTTCCGACGATTCTCCGAAGCTGGGAATGTTTCCAACGAATCTCAAATTCTCAATTAGAGAAGGCTGCGCAGGTGAAATATTGCTTTCTTCCCCTCGCAAATATTCGTGACTCCGACGCTCCCGTCGGCTCAGCATAATCCGAGAACTTGCGTGCGCTGTGTTTTGACGCGAAATTATAAATTCAGTCGACGCTCCTTGCACACTTTGCATTTTCGATCGCGATGCGACGAGATATACAAAGGTACAGACAGACCGCGTTGTTTGGCCTTGATCCTTATCGATGGAATTACACCATTTTCTCGAAATCGCTAGCCCGATCAAGACATCACGATCTAGAGTTTTCGGGGGTATATCCCCCGGGGTTTCTGGAACCGATCATTCATACATCTCATTAAATATCTTATTTGACATATATTCGGAATAAATCGAAGGTACGGATATCATCCGTCCGATCTTCACTGACTGTCTCTCCATGGAGTCGATGCAACGCCGCGGCGTACCTTTTCGGAGTTTCTCTGCCGACTGCCATTTTATTCCCGGATAGCTCTTCCGCCATCCAGATTTATCTCTGTCCGTTCTCCGGTCGGAGACGCGACACGATCACGCAATTCGAGCACATTAAGTAATCTCGCAAGCTTTTCGCGCTTGTCGAGACGGCCTTGCGTCGAATGTGAGGGGGAAGTGGACAGCAAGGGCTACTGTGCGTCCCCTCGCAATTAGTCGAGCTTTTCGAAATCGACTCACCGCTCTTCATTCCGCTTGCGGCATCTTGCTCCGGATCTCGCCTGGTCAGCTTGTCGACTCTGGGGATCTTATTAAATCGAAATATCGATGTCGCTTCTACCACAGAAGCCGCTTGCTCTTTGACTCTACGGCGCGATAACGGAAGACGAATAGATGACGACGACGTCGCGCCGTACGGGTGTATTGAAGGCTGTACGGGAGGGTAAATAAATGGATGGATGCGCGGCCGTATCGCAGCGGACGCACCTCAATCCAATCGAGCGCCGCTCTGTATGTCTTTCGAAGCGCGAACGAGTCCACGGGTTCGTTTTGAAGCCGGGCTCGAATCCCCTCACTCGGTGCTCGAGAGTTCATCCGAGCATTTAAACACTGACACCGCACGAGGAGAGGAAAAAAAACCGCGCGATGAATGCAGAATCGATTTCAATAGCTTTCAAGTCATCAAACGCCTGATGGACTGGAGCTTGAAAACAAGTAGGAGCGACGCAGAACGTGCTCGACACGTATTGTCATTCAAATTCAACACTTGAATAACAGGAACATCAATGCCCGTCGCTCCAGAAGAGAAAGAGACAGGAAAAAAAAACGAACGGAGGCGAAAAGCTTCATCAAGATGAGCACGTCGGCGTCGTCGGGGAGCTTCACGTTCGCGGCGCTCTGAAAAGGTTGTCCGCTTCCGTTTGCAGTTTGCATGCGACGACGTGTTGCTGACGGCGCGCGTGCGCGAATCGTGTCATGTCCCCACTTTGCATCATGCTGAATAGCGACGACTGCGGTCGGACGCTTATGGCGCATCAGTCGCTCTCGTCGCGCGGATTAGAGAAGCGCTCTTCGCAAGCTCGTTCACCCTTGCCGGGAAAAATCCCTGTTTGATTGGTTCGATTTCATCGAGCTTTCGGAAATCCTGAGCGGACCCTTCCCGTGTGAACCCTTCCCATCTGGGTGTTTCTCCAGTCCTGAATCGATGGCTCGACGCTGATTGTCCATGCGTGCATTTACTGGCTCGTGGGAATCGACTGATGATTCAGGACGTGTCAGTGGCATTAATTGACGCTACGGCAGCGGCTCAAATATCGGATGACGACCGCCCTCGGGATAAATAAATTCCGATCGTTCGAATCAGGTTCTCCGCTGACCATCGGAATAGCCTCTCGACGAGCGCACGGGTTCGAAAATATCGCTCTGTGATACATATTTCATTCGATCCGTGGTATTCTCAGCCTCTTTTCGGAGAGACGGAAAGGCGGAAAGCATTCCGGTAGGCTTCTCGGCCTGTAAGCTCTTGGACTCCGAGTCGTGGGAAAGGTCCCGCCGACGATGGTGGCTTTGTTCTCGAGCTTTCTCGTTTCCGTTTACGTTTTCCTATCGTAGGAACTTCTGTCTAGAATCAATCACTGAGCGAGACTCATTTGTATGCATAGGTCTGTGTCCCGGCAGAAGGAAGTCAGGAAAGAGTCGCCGGTCTACTCGCATGCTAGACGCCGCGGGAGTTGCCGTGACTGCAGAAGCCGCTTCGTTGGGGATCCGATTGGCGGAAAGAGCGAACGCATGTCTCACATTCTTTTTCCGTTTGTATTTATCTATCGGTCCGATGCTTCTGAGCGCCGGTCTCGTTCGCTGCCAGCCAGATTGGGAGTGGCTGCGGCGACGTGATAGTCTATTATTCGCGGCTTTCGCGTGAGACGTCAACGTTAGAAATGAACGGATTGACCCGTGACACCATTTGTCACTTTAGTTGGGCAACTTCTGGAAGGCTCGGAATTCCCGGCGAATCATCCCGATTGGAGCGCATTCGAGACCTTGAATCGGCTTCCGCTAATGTTCCCCGATACATATGGCGCTCCTCCTTAAATGGAACCAAAGCGCTCTTGGCAAGGGGCCAGTCATTGCAGGAGGGACTCGCCCGGCCCGAATCTCCAATTGAATGTAAGTGAAGATATGGGGGGTCTCCAAAACCTTAGGATCGCCGCAAATATGTTGGAGGACGCGTCATCCTCCCAGCTTCGTCGTCCGAGCGGATTCGGAATCCGAAGGCTTGGGTTTTCTCGGGCTCCAGAGAGCTCCCAGGATCTCAAGGAACCAGCGACAAAACAGTGCCGCAACGCTTCCTTGGCCACTCCGCAGAGCTCCTCGGAGGCCGCAAATAGTCGTGGGACTCTCAGCAAAAGCAGCGACTCACCTGGCCTTGAAAGTGGCGCAGAGAGCCTACCGAATTAGAATTGCTTTAAGGTCATTGTCTATCCGCACCGAGCTCGCTCCGGGCTTGGAGCAATCGGATCCGAAATCCGACGCGATTCTCGGTGGTTTCGTCCTTATTCTACGGGTGTTACCGTCTGCCGCTCATTCCATCGACGCGCGAGGATTTGTCCCTCCCTGACTCTTATTTCTTATCCTTCCGCTCATATTCATACATCCAATCCTCATTTTGAAATGATCTTTTCCTCCGTTCCCTATAATTTCTCATATTTTGTTCCTCCCATTTTATTTATCGTTGCCTTTGATTTTATTTTCAGCCTCGTGGGACTCGCCGACGAATTCCAACCTCAGGGGTAAATTATACTCGTACACGAACCGTCTTGACGATGAAGGTAACAACTCACTAATAATGGCCTTGTCTAACAACTTGAGCCTCTGATGGGTTCGTGAATCGACGAGCATCCGCTCCGCTCGTTTTCCGTGGGAGTGCGCGGTCGCTTGTTCGAAAGCTCCCAGGAATGATTTCTATCCGACACTCGATGAATAGATCATTATCTCCCCGGGCATCGCGAATCGCGATTCGCGCCCTCCGAGAAGCTCAATTAGGGATCAAGGAATAATGTGTCCCCTCGTCGCTCTGGGCATCTCTGCCGAATGTTGGCGAGTTCGGGGCCTACTCAACGCGGTAGCACGCGGTCTCGTGGAGAGCCGATAAGCCAGTCGCGCCTGATATCAAATTCAATGGAATCATCGCTGCAGGAGTCGGACAGTCGTAGATGACCTTCGAGAACAAATTGCGTACCATGAATATTCAGAGGTTGCTCTCGGACCGCGGTCACGACGCGTGCCGTTATCACCTCGGAAGCCGCTCGACGAGCCGCTTACGAATGTCCCGAACTACATGAAACTCTGATTGTAGGTGAGAAGCAGTGACTGCTCGACTCAGGAAAAAGCAGACGAAACTTAGTTTGCCGCGAATTCAATCAGAGTCGCCCCGAGCAATCGGAAGAAGAACGGGTAATCTCTTGCAGCAACCTGTACCGTTGACACGAGCCAGACTCAGTACGATTGTTGCGTGCAATTGAATCGCCGCAGTTGTCAAACAGCGGCTCGTGGGTCTTCGACGAGTCAGGGCATTGCGACTGGGGGAGCCATCTCTCGAGTTTTATTGCGTTCGTATTTGTTTTTCGTCGTTCCCCTGCTTCCGACAATGCCGCCATATCGATTGTCGTCCTCGGCGAAATTACGCCGCTTGAGACAGAAGATTTCTCGATTTTCGATCATACGAGCTCGTTCTCAGCTGGAAGGCTAGACACACGGCGCAGCGGAACCGGATACCCCCGATTCGTACCCGAGGTCAGACTGGAATGGCTTGACAATGGTCCCTTCTCAGAATTAATTTCTTGCGTCCTGGGCTGGAGTCAGAGCGGAGTTGCGGAGGCCATCATACAGCGAAGCAGATGCCTTGGGGGCGCGTCATGACGGACGAGCAGGATCAGGTACCCGCTCCCGCAGAACCGCTCGTGAAAGTTGCGTAGGCGGCTGCAATAAAATGGAATTCAGTGCGATGTTCTTTCCTGGTCATTACATTTGGCAAAAATCGTCCAAAAACGCGACACTCTGATCCCGAGGGAGTCCGGTCAGTGCCCGAACATCATGAACTTCCGGGCAGTCGGAGTTCGCGTCCTCGCTCACTCACTCCTTAATTGCCACGATTGTAGACGGGCCGCAGATGCAGCACACACTTAACCCTCGACTAACTTTGCGATCTAGACAGGCTTATTACAACGTAAGTGTGGGTTGGGCCGACGAACAAACGGGCGACTGGGATGACTGGCGAGCGAGCGAGCGGATGCGTAAAAGTCACTCCCTTTATAATACCCCAGAGGCAGACAGCGTGTGTCAGAGTTGAGGCATTAAGGAGACAGAGAGCCGAGGGAAAAAATATGCCTTCCACTCGCTTCTCCTACAATACAGCATTATCATTATTGTTATTATTATTATTCAAGTTCACTTAAAAATGAAAGGCTAGACGCAGCTGGGGCCTTTCTGACGACCATTCCGACCGCAACGCGAAGCTGTCGGTACGCCCCCCCCGAATGCGGAGTCGTCGGCAACCCTCACGGAACTCGAATCCGTAACGAGATCCCGGCCCGGAGCGACTGTTGTGCTCCAGGTGTGCGCCGCGAGCGAAGAGTTGGCCGAAGCGATATTTGGGCGAAATTCTGTGAAGAAAGAGCAAACCATCGATCCTCCTCGAGGAGGGGGTCTCCCTCCAGAAGTGCGAAAAGCGTGATGCTCGGAGTATCGTTTCACCTTGACAGCTTAGAGAGGCATTTTTCGTCCGGACGGAGTTGCAATGAGATCTTTCATTTTTTTCCAGAACCCCGGGTCACGGTAAGCGGCGTCCAAGGCGGCCATGTCGGTCTTCCCTGTAATATACAACCCAACTCAACGGAGGACGAAGTGTCGCTTGTGTTGTGGTAAGCCACCGTTCGCCCTGAATGAGCCGTTCTATAGCCGTTCATTTGTCATTCGGGCTGCCGCATGAGGAAAAAAATATACGTATCTGGTGTCGTATCCAACTTCCTTGCTCCTATTCGACCATTATTATTCTTGCACAATGTTCAGCCAATAAAAATTCGTGTACATCGCTCCCACCACGATAAGGGAATCATCAAAAGTTACCGTAACGGCAAGAGTCCATTCGATCGAGATCAAATCGAATTGAGCGAACATTGTGTTCCTTGGTACAGGTACAAGGATGATTCGACAACGCCGATCTACTCGTTGGATTCGCGCAAAACAACGCTGCGGAATGCTCATCATGCTCCGGTTCACTGGCTCAGCGAACGGGCATACCTGAGGACGATACCGATTGCGAGGCCGAACAACGCATCGAGAAGCAAACCGACGAACACAGAAGTTACGCCGAACGCCGCCACTTCGCTACTGGAGTTGAAAAACCTCGAAAAAGAAGATGAGGCACTATACAGATGTCGGGTAGACTTCAAACGTGCCCGTACGCGGAATTACGAAGTGCAGCTTAAGGTTATCGGTAGGTGGAATATTTACAACTGTGATGTTTGCTCGTTGTCTTTTCTCGTTTGTTTTTCCCTTCATCCTCTCCCGGGCGAGTCGGGAGAGTCAACGCATCGCTCGCTCCCACGAGTGCCGGGTCTTCGTGAATTCGTTCGAGAGTCCAAGACTATCCGATGATCCAATGATATTTGGCGGTCCACCCAATGGAAATTGTTTTTACTTCCGGGGAGAATTTTTCCCCTTGGAAACCGTTCGACCCTTGGCTCCCATCGGGAAGCTCTCGGAATATCCCGGAAGAGAGGGATAACGGGGTAGGGGATCTGTCGAAAGAACGAGTCGAAAGCGAAGCCCAAGCAGTTCTTTGTGTGGAGGAAATTCAAGAGATCTCAGAGACCATGCGGAAGAGGCTTTGTGGATGTCAACTCCGGCGTGACGCCGCGTGCGAAGTCCACCCAGGCGGATGGATCAATACTCGGCAGACAGCAAAAGCAGGGCGACAGAGACACGAATCAATGCGAAGGAAAATTGTGAGAAGATTGGATCGGGTTCGAAAAACGCATCGGATCGGTGCGGTGAGACGGGGGCAGACTGATAAGACCCCTCGCTCTCCTCCCGGAAGCCAACACTGCTCCGAGCTATGAGATCGGATTCTCGACGGACGCGGAATACTGACCGGGACCCGAAAGGCGTGATTGCTGGTGGGTCCCGCCATGAAGAATAATCATCTGGAAATATGTGCGAAACCTCTCGTTTGGGGCTGCGAAACCTGACGCTCTCGGAACCGACGACGGATTGGGAGATGGAATAGAGGATGCGTCTCATAGACGCATACCGACTGCCGATGATCTCCTCGGTTCCCGGTCGACGGATGAGGAAATTTACTTGGAGAAAAGTTCGAAGTCGTTCAAATTCTCTCAGCACCGGCTTTTCTGTTCCGCGGCGTATTCGCGAGCGCAGAGGTCCTGTGGGAATCTGAAGCGATGACCTCCAAGCGGTAGTGTCTCTGTACTCACACGCAATCATCGAGTATCTTGGTCATCGGGCGAGGGCTAGAAGTGGCTCTTGTCGATCTCGCTGACTCATGCCAGTTTTGACACATAAGGATGGCTTCGAAAAGCGAGAGAAGGAATAATCCTCGAGAGGTCGGCGAGGTCAGTGCGATATGAGCTCTCTCCGCGAGCTTTCCCAAGAGCTACCTACCAGCCTGCGAGTCGTGCCAAAAACTTCGGCGTCAAGAGCTCCGGGGAGAAGCCGGCGGAAACTTTCCCTGGAAGAAAAAGAGTGGAAATCGGAGAAAGCGCGACTCCCAGTCCCGCAGTGCAGACTGTGGAACCAATTGATTCTCGCCGGGCTGAGCTTAATCACTCTCCCGTTTCTCTGAGGCTTTCGAGTGAACTTCTGGAGGAAGAGCCCTGGAACAAGAGTAGAAAGAAAAGTTTTTTCCTGCGCCAGCTCGCGAACTTCGCTCCCGCCGAAGGAAGGCTGCTCGGTCGGCTTTTTCTCGACTCCTTTGAAATATGTAAACGAAGTCCTGTTCTCTTGTTTTATTCCAGTTCCACCTTCCCGGTTGACAGTGGTAGACCAGCGGGGAACGTTTCTGTCGGACAAGGCAGTGATCGGACCCTTCACTGAAGGCGAGAAACTCGTACTGAAATGTCAAGCCCACGGAGGTAAGGAGTTAGAACGATGCTCACCGGCCTGCTCGCATGCATAAAAAGGTCCGGAGCTCAGAATCATGAGTTTTCCCCCCTCCGCTGGTCTTGTCAGCAGGTACCGAGGTGTCTGAACTTTATCCCGGGACGAGACATCCTATTTTTTCTTCCATTTGCAGGAGTGCCCCCTCCAGTGGTAACGTGGTACCGGGGCTCATCGTCGACCGTCAAAGAGACAGTTCCGACGCAAGTCTCTCAGCTCGGCACAGAGCTCAAGCTGCTGTCTTCAGCAGCTAACGTTCAACATGGGAGTTTTGTGGAGAGCGAGTTGGTCCTACAAAGCCTCACTCGGGATGATCTCCTGGCAGCGTTAATCTGCGTCGCCTCAAATAACAATGTTTCACAACCGCTGATGTCGTCGGTGGTTCTCGACATCTACTGTAAGCCCACTAATCTCGAGACGAAATTCTCGCCTTCCGAGTCAAGAAAACCCCCAGCCCGTGATTGGGAGACGTGCGACCAGTCGGTATGGGGAACACGGTCGCCGATGGAGAAAAATACAAAATTTCCCCTCGATATTTTCCAGTTCGTCCCCAACGCGTGTGGATCACGTCGCCGAGTCCCGAAATCATCTTGGCAGGCATGACGACGGTTTTCAAATGCTCTTCGGCCGGCTCGCGGCCGCCCGCGATGATCCAATGGTTCAAAGGAGACGAGAAAATGACAAATACCACGATCGTGGTGAGTTCGAACAGCAGCTCGTCGGCCCCGCTGCCGGCCCTCCCGAGCAAGTTGACTGGTGACGACTGGCACACTTCAGTGCTGGAATTCGTGCCGTCTCCCGACGACGACGGCAAACAGCTCACATGTAAAGCGGACAATCCTGCGATGCCTACGCGAGGCACCAAAGGATCGGATTCGAACGCCATCGTCGACGGCGTCAAACTCAAAGTTCATTGTGAGTTCATGATTTCCGTTTTTATTGCCCGCTCGTGCATTTTCCATAGCTTGGAATATTCCTTCATTGTCTTGCTCTGCCGATGCTCATTTACAACCCTCTTTCGGCGATTGACTCCGCGCGCCTCCGCACTCCGAGCTCGTGCTCAGCGTGGCTCATTGCCGCCCACTCCAGCACCTCATTTGGCATTGTTGCGTTCCTGTGTATTATTAGCACGAGCGACGCCACGGCTTCAAGAAGTAAAAGTTCGCATCCGTCCTTCGTCCTACGCCGAATATTAGGCGCGGGCGACTTATGCGAAGCGCTCCTTATGGCAACAACGAGCGTGGAGACATGTCAGTAAATAGCGAGGATGACACAGTGTGCACCATTACGCACGGTTTGTGTGAGGACAATGCCTAGTCGTCTGAGGTCGTTCGCTCAGATCGTTCGGGCTCGGCCCAGTCTCTGACGTGAGCGAGGATACTTAGTGCCCAACGCAGTGGCCATCAGAAAAACGGCGAGAGCAACTCTACGTTGCGTTTTTCCGCAACCTCAACAAATCTGCGGTCTGTGGTGCGCCGCCGCTATGGCAGTCTCTATCGAGCGATGGGGTCGTGTCTGAAGCCCGGTTCGTGTTTCTCCGTTGTCCCTCCGAACTCCCCTTCCGCGCAGAACAGCTCTCGCAGTCCGAATTCCTGACGGACTCGTTCACGTTCCGGGGGCTCCGGATTCGGGAAGATCTAATGTTGTATTCTTTCCTTCCTCCTTCGGGAATCGCAGATGTTCCTCAACCCACTGTCCGATTGGGCACGAAGCTGCGGCACTCGCATATCCGCGAAGGACATGACGTGTTCCTGGAGTGTGACGTGAAAGCGAACCCGCCATTAATTGAAATGGGATGGGCTTTCGAAGGCCAGGAGCTCAAAACCGATCTCGAAAGAGGCGTCGTCATCAGTGAGAATTCGCTCGTCCTACAAAAAGTCACGAGGTGGGTAGAGGGTTTATTTTTTTGTTGTCGCTCGTCCTACAAAAAGTCACGAGGTGGGTAGAGGGTTTATTTTTTTTGTTGTCTGTGAACGGGATTGAATGGGATGTACGGGAAGCTCGGGCCCGTGGGTTCGGTCGAGGCAGTTCCATGACGAGACCGTGGCGGGAATTCACCAACGATCGCCGGAGCGCAGTGTACTTGATTACGTCGAACGCTTCATCACATCACTTAGTGGAGATTGAACGACCATCATCCCTTGATTAAATGAGGAGCTTTCCCAACTCTAGGCTTAACCGAGGACGCTACGTGTGTACGGGAACCAACTCGGAAGGTCAAGGGAAGAGTCCTCCATTCCAGTTGCGAGTTAGATGTGAGTGTCATTCGGTCCAATTACTGCTTTCCTTTCGACAGTCGTCGTTGTCGAGCGGGGGCGGCGCAAATCTCGTCGTGGCTGCTCATTTTCGGTGTTCTGCTCCTGAGTCGGGCACAAAGCAGAGTAGTTTCCTATCGGAAGGGATTGAAGACGTTTCTTGCAGATGAACCGACGTGCAAACCCGGCCAGAGGCAAATGTACGGAGCGGCAAAGAACGAAACGGTCAGAATCAGCTGCGAGCTCGACGGGGACCCACCAGACATCACGTTCCGCTGGCGCATCCGTAACTCGAAAGGAGAAATCACAAACATTCCGACTCCGACCGGCGGCTCGAAAACCGGGGGCGGCAACAGCAACAGCAACGCGATTTCCCTCGATGACGACGCCGCCGGTACGAGAGATTCCGGCTTCATCGTCCAGTCTGAGGGGACGCAGAGCTGGCTGACGATTGTGCCAAAGTCCGAGGATGACTACGGCACCATCATTTGCTGGGGTCGGAATCCTATGGGCATGCAAACCGAGCCCTGTCTCTTCAGTCTGACGTCCGCGGGCCCACCAGGCCCCGTGCACAACTGCAGTGTCATCAATCAAACTGAGGAATCCATAACGATCTCGTGTCTTGAGGGCTACGACGGAGGTTCCGAAGGAGGCCAGATGTTTCATATGGAGGTTCACGACTCCGCGAATCAAAATCGCGTGCTAATCGCCAATCTCAGCACGACGATTGCCCCTCCAAGTCTGCAAGCAAAGGGTCTGTCCCCCTCGACACCGTACGTGTGCACGATTTATGCATCGAACGAGAGGGGAACAAGCCAACCCACGATTCTTGTTGCTTCGACGATCCCGAAGCCGTTGAGTTTATCGTCGAAAGGCGGATTTTTATTTGGTTATCTGGACGGTCGCTTTAAACCGTCCCCTTTTGTTGTTTTGGGCATCGCCGGAGCGATACTCGCTATTATTCTCTCGACGATTCTCGTGGTTGCGGTCGCGCTCAAAGCGATTCGCGCGAATCACTTGGCCGGAAATCATCGCGGACACAAGAAAAAGCGTGAGTTTCTTCCGTATTACGGATAGAGTCGAAGTATCGACAGATACAGACCGATGCAGCGCCTTAAACCAGCGGAATAGACACTTTCACAAAATCCGGTTGCACCGATATGTTCTCCTAGCTTTTCCTCGTAAGCGTCCATCCCGCTCTTCCCGCCGCTGAGACGCATCAGAGAAGAGCAAGAAGGGGCGCCGAAGAGGATCCGGAACGGCAAATTGATTACGGTCATTTTGGTTTCAGTCAATGATCTGGGATTTTCTATCGACGACGACGAATCCGTATTTCCGCTGAGAGACATCGAGAAGAGGAACAGTCCTACAGTTACTGATCTCAAGAATTTTATCGATGACGAAGACGACTCACGAGGACCCGATATTATACCGGGTACGTGTTCGCACGCTGATCCGGAGATGGAAAAAAAATTCTCAGAAAGACTTGACGTTTTCATCGATTCCCATCGTTTTCCAGAAACTCTCAAGCTCACGAGCCCTTCGTGTTCGACGCTCGGAGCGTTGGAGAGCAGCTTTATCCAATCAATCGGGGTGGTCGATACAGCAAGTGCACACATGTACACCCCGCAGTCGGATTTCGGGTCAAAAATCTTGAACGATGTCACTTACCTAGACTACTCGAGTCTCAAACGTGGATCGTGGGATATTGCTCAACGCCAAAAATCTTCCGAATCTCCGTCTATCTTTCAACACCACATGGTCACGCTGCCGAGAAGACCTCAACAAGTACAGCAGCAGCAGCAACAACAATTACAGCTTCCAGTCGGCGGAACTCGAACATCTGCAATTGCGAATGGTGTGTTGGATGCGTCTCCGACAAGCCACCAACCTTATGTAAGTTCCTGGCGATTCCCTGATAATACTCTGGGAGCGTGTCCGGAAGTGTTCTGCTCAGAAACTCGTGAGGATCTGCACGGGCGACCGCAGTTGACGTCCCCAATGTGTGTGGCTCCCCCTATATATGTATGATATGTGTATGCGAGAAGTCGGAGCCCAGAACCTCAGATGTCGATGTCCGATATTAGAGCAGTGCTTACTCCCCTTTCCCTTCCATCGATATGAATTGGCTTCGTCTCGGCTGTGTCGTCGATTGTACTAGCCGCGAGTCAAGATGTTCCGAGCTCTAGTTTCCCATGCCTCCGATGCGACGAGTTCATAGACTCAATAGTGCGATTGAACTCAAGCTCCGAGCTCACTGACATCGTCGGTGGCTCCGGCTAATTGAGTATCCGGCAGCCTGGATTTGCATAATGATTTTCAGAATGATCCCTAGCTCCCTTCGATCTCGGCTTACCGTATTCCTGGAACGAGAGACCCCTTTCGAATCAGTTTGCGGGCGATTACTTTATTCCGTAAAGGATGCCCGTAATGTCAGGGGATCGCGCACGAGTAGCTTGCCACGATGGCATCTCCGTATCGGTCGGCTCTGGAATGTGGAACAGATTTTATTCCTGGCCATGAATGAATCAAGTGCGGTATAAAACTTACGTCTCCGTGACCACCGGTTCTGACTCGCGAAGCGTGTTGCGGAGCGTGTACTTCGATATCATAGAAGAAAAGCGTGTTGCTCCTGCGCGTTATGGCTGTGCGCTCCGACGCGGAAGGGAGTTACAGGCCTCGTTCATGGGCTCAGGATCTCCTCGTGTATCTTGCGAGAACTTACGCTTGTCTCGATGCTGTAAGCGAGTATGATAATCGGGGAGTTTACGGGGCATTGTCGCGAGGAGCGAATCAGCGATCACGAGAGCCATAAAGAGTAATGTATGTAATAACACGCGCACAATCCAAAACTCGCGGTTCAACCCCCGCTGATGGCGCGAGTGGTGGCGATTAAAAAGCAACGTAAACCGACCGTCACTCCTCCCTGAATCTGCATCTCAATCTGCCGCCTCGGCAGCCAACGGTGGTGTTGTGACTCCACCCCGCACTTACTGATGAGAAAATCCCGCCTCAAATCAAAGTTACTCACTCGTTCGGAAATGTTCTGACTCCTATCGAATCTCGACGATCGAGATCAAGCTGATCTCCGGATCATTCGTACCTGCCGATAATGAGAGGAATAAACCAACTACGTCGAAGAGATCCGACGACAGAGAGATTCGACTCGATCGAAGCTCCGCTGTCACCGGCAGCGGGATGGAATTGGAGCCGATGACGTGGTCGACTGAATACTCGAGGACGTCAAAGGACAGAAGACAGATATTTTGAATTTTGCTCGAAAAAAGCTGGAGCTCGTTTTAGATCGGGCCTTGTATTGGAGGAATACGTTCTTCGGAGGATTCCGGTTTGAGATTCGGATCTGGATGGAAAGATCTCCATGCGGTAGAGTCAGCACGAATGATCTCTGATGCCTGAGCTCTGCATTAATAGGCCTCATCATGAATATGGAACGACTGTGCCGATTATTAGGAATGGGTTTTATCTATTTCGATTGATGTCTGCGTCAATCAATATGCCACCTTCGTCAAGGGACAGCGATTAGAAGCAGATCTATATCCGTGACTCGCTCTTGGAATGGAATCCGACCAAGGTGACGCGGTCGATGGGAGTGCTCGTGAGGAAAGAGGCGGCAACCGGGCGCACGTCACTATGAGAACTGATTATTATACACTGGGGCGATGCAGACGTACGGCAGGTCGAGGGTGATGTTAAGGAACTTTTCTTCGCCGTACCTTGCCCCATGCCATCGCAGACGGGGATCTTGAATTCTCGAGAGGATTAGATCGTACGGCTGGGTATTGAACTGTGACGTAGACCACTCTGCATAAAGGCACGTGCTCTTCCACCCGTCGTTGCTGCTTATGGGGAACACGCACGACTGCAGAACCGTAGTAGATGATTGTTGCGAGACAATGGTACATATATAGTGATCGATCGACCCCCTGCTTCTCCAGAGGCTTCCCGCTGGGCAAGGAACCAGCTGCTTGTCATTCGGAGCATCGCATCGTTTCCGATTCGAACTGACCATTCCTCATTCAAATTATTCCAGGTGATTTAGCCCTAATTCGGTCATGTTGTAAATAAGCAAGGGACGGATCGAAGATGGTATGAGGAGCAGCCGGGACACGGCTCGGAGGCTCTCAAGGATACCTGGGAGCGCAAGCGGTCGGAGCTCTCGCTCCTCGACCTCAACGAACTCAACGCAAGATTTCGACGGTGAAAACGCAGAGATTCGATATATATTTTTCTGAGAATGAAGCCCCCGTAGGGGTTGAGTGTACATTTCCTCGAGTTTCTCGAAGATGTTAAATAAAGTGTTCATACGGAAGTCGGAGGCAATGTTCTCTTTTCTTGGGCTAGTCGAGAAATTGAACAGCTCGACGAGCGGAAACGCGGCGCAAACAGAAATCCATCCGGGTAGGGGGGTCTCTGCTCCTCGGCTGATTTAGCTCCTCCCGCTGTCGACGACCTTCGGATATTCTCCTAGAGTAAACGGTCCTCCGAGCGCGGGGCCCTGAAGACTGTGATGACGGAGGGGAGGGCCATTTTAATTTCCTGTACCTGAATCTCCTTATATTCAAGAGTTTATTGAGAGGCGGATCCCCCGGAATAAGTGTCGGTCGAAGATTAAAGTCCCTACCTCTGCTGCCCTCCGCTGTCGACGCGACCTGGCTCCGATCAGGTGACATATTTCGCGGAGCCGAATAACGGAATCCATCGTATCAGAATACGATACGCCCCGCTATGAGGGTCCTCGTCGGATCGCGATGGACGTTCTTGTCGAGACCCCATCGTCCGCAGGGAGTGGCGACTTATGCGCAAGGAAGTCTGAAGTAGACGCGCGACGCCTCCTCCAAGGGATTTCATCGCATGTGTTTATTAGCGAGCTCGTAGGGTAGAGTCGGGAATAATCGGCACGGAGTCTTGGGTCGGAATGACGCCAATTAGGCTTGATCGTGAGCGATATTCAGCTCCCGAGCTTGCTTCGCCTAGAGTCAACAAAAAAAGCAGAAAGAACCGTCCGCCTGCATAATGTTCATAATGGTCGTAGACCGTAAGCGGAGCAGATAACGGTAGAGGAATGCCGTGCCACCGCGGAAAGATCCGAGCCCGGCCTACGGACGCCAATCATCTAAATGGCAACAGCAGCAGCCGCAGCGAGTGGGCGCTTCCTGCTCGCGAAAGAAAACAGTTACCAGCTATCAACAAAGTGCTGATGACGTGTAGAAGGACCGCGACCGTTGCGCAGCTCGCCTTCAAAGTTATCACCGGCTCTCCAGAGTTTGTGAGATGTCGCGGGCCGAGATTTCTCTACGCCGTACTCCGAATATGGAATCGTGCGTTCAGAGCCAGTCGTCCGCCGAGCATGAATAAAACTTCTGCAACCCCTCCATCGGGAAGGCAAGGCGACATCTGGAGCCTCAGGATCCTCGTAACTTCAGCTGCACCGACATCCTCATCACGAAAACGTTTCGTGTCTTGTATATACCTCATGCCGACCGCTGGTTTTCAGGCTCTCAAAATCTGTCGAATCGGCTTGTCGGGAATGGAAGACGGAGTCGATTCGTCTGAGCTCCGAGAAAGTTGCGTGCACGACGGGCGTGATGACCCTGGAGCTCGGGAGGACTCCAGCGGTTTTTCGCTACGTCGGGCCTGAACGCGAACGCTCTGGGCGCTCGCACGTCGCCGGTCGATCCTTTTCGGCATGGGAATTTTGGAAGATCCAGCGGCGAAAAAAAGGGGATCGAGCAATGAGAGATCTGCCCGCGCAGTGATGCCATCGTCGACATACGGTGCGCTGCCGCTCGAACAGTGTTGAGTCGGTCGATTCGGGTACGACTTCTGCGATGATAGATGGAAACAGAAGGTTCCATATATTGACAATACGCTGCGAGATCGGTCAGCGGAGCGAGTATGGTAGTCGCGCGTTCGACGGTTGTTCGATAAAAACCGGCCGAGAAACAAGTTGTCTGTGTCTGATGCGAGTTAATGAAAGCCCCGACTGGCTTGTCTGCTCGTTTGCTCGCATGCGTTCCATTCGACGTCATAAAAATCCAGCCATGCACTGGGGACAGCGGCCGCCGCAGCAGAGTCTTCTGACGCAAAAAGTCACCCTTGAAGCCACCTCTCGAAGCTTCCAGCCGCTCATCCGCGCGCGGTGGGACGCACAGAGGCTGAGCGCTGATCGTTTCCAAACGCCGCGCCGCGAAATCGATACGCCGCCGCTGCTGCATCCATGCGGAGCGTATCCATTTCCTGTCGCCATCGGGGTTTTGTCCCACCGGGCGATCTCGGCTCTCCAAATCGTTGTTCGCTACAACAAATGCGGCATGGAATGTAGCCTACTCCTGATGAGACAGAATGCGATCCCGTAAAAAAAGACTGAATCCCTTCGCGAGTCCCGACGTCAATGCTTCTGTCTTCCGGGAGTTCCCGGCGCCACAGAGACCTTCCCTCATCCCCGCAGCTCTCAGTGTAGTTCCTTCGGATGCTCTCCCAGAGTCCGCAGATTTTTTTAAGGGAGTACGGTGGGTGAAACCATTAGCGAGATTGAGACATACACATGGATCGGTTTGTCTGAAGGCGACCCTTCAGTAACCCGGGCTTACATCTACGTCCGACGTCTACCGCGGGAAAGAAGACGCCAAAGCTTTATCGTCGCTGCCGCTAATGCGATAGCTCCCGACGAACTCGCTGTGCTCAAAGCGTCAGCCGGCGATTATCCGATGGGGAGAATCTCTGGAAAGCTGATTGAGTAACGAGAGCTGATTCGATCGAAGGAGCCTTGCTAATGAGGAGGGTCTCGACCACTTATTTTTTCTTATCCCCATAATGACCTCCGAACTTGAGAACAAA